ATTCTGTTTTGAATGCTTGCCTGTTGGTTATATAAAAAGAATTATTTTAACTTCATTATGATAGGTGAAGATACGTTTATGTACAGACATATAATATACAGTACATTAATAATATGTTTGTATATAAAATAATTTAAAGTGATAAATAATAAACTTTAATAGCCATTATACAATATTATACCAAATTATTTGAAGTACTTTGTATGTTTATAAATCATAAGGTTCTCTATAATATCAGAGAAATTGCGTTATTTAATCTTGCAACTGAAGTATCCAGTCCATCTTTTGGGTGAAGCTACGGTTGGTTAATGTTCTATTGTAAAGATATTGAGATCTTCACGGATAACATAATAAAGTGTGTGTAAGTAATATTTTTTAAATGTAATAAATTTTGACCGGTATTTTCGTTATAATGACGTTTCGAATAGAATCATAACATAATATATTATGTTATGTGATGTAAGTTTTAATGTATGTTTCAAGCCGTGTCTAGTAATCCTTTATAAATGGGTATGTCGCGAGGGACCTGATACTTCTAGTGCCTAATGCCTTAGCTTTTGTTGAAATATAACGGCGAGATAAGGCAATTCCGCTGTTCAAGCCTTATAGATTGCTGTTCTCAGACACGTTGGAGTAAACACAGATATTTTAGATATGATATACATTAATTATGATAAATTTTAATATATTGTATACATTGAAATTGTTTCACTGAAGGAGCACGTCGGGAATATTCCCCAAAGCTTGTACTGACTGTGAACCAATCGAAATGCTCTTTTGAACATAAACCTCTCAATTATACTGACCTTACATTCGATACTGCACAAAACACACTTTATATTAATCATTAATAGAAATTATTCGAATAATATGAATTATTATCAATAAGATAACCCTTGAGATTAATTTCTAATTATTTTAATATTATTACTCTATGAACTATTATTTTAATTTTACTATTTCTATTATTGATGTTAAAATTATAACATTACTTTGTTCATTTAGTACCGCAATTGTATGTGTTATGTTACTTAAAATTTGTTGTCTTTTTAATACTTCTTTAAGAAGTATTGTTTGATTATATTGAGGCTAATAATAGAAACAACCAATACTTATTTACGAAGTTGGAAGCATGGAAAATTCCGTATATGATTATAGGAACTTTATTTTAACCTAAATATTAGATGAGCAACATAATTTCGTATGAACATAATTTCAATTTAATTTTTCACATAAGCCAATGCAAGAAGACTTCAAGAAATCTTGAAATTATGATAATAATATTGAATTTTTATATATATTTTTTATTTATAAACTTCTTACAACACAAGAAAGTCTAAAAGTAACCTAAATTTCACTTCATTTTTATCAATAACGTACCACAAAATATACAACAGAAATGTAAATTATAATTAAACAGCAAGCAAATTATAAAGACAGCAACAATAATATTGTTTCAAATTTCTATAAAATTAAAATTCTGTCTCTTTTCAATAATTTTCTGTCTCTTTTTAAAACCTTTATCTCAATCTCCTATCTACCTGTATCTCAAGAGAATACTAATAATGTCCGTTGTATATACTTCTTAAATATGAAACTCATTATGTTTTTCTACAAACACATTACTTTCTTATATATCCATAAAGGTGAATTTTCTTATAACATTACTGAGAAGTCACTTAAAAAATAAAGATCTAATATTTACCTTAATTTCAGTACTTTGAAACCCTTTCTTAAGTAATGCCTGTAGATAAAAAGACTGTTTCCGAATAATTTCCATAATAATATTTTATAACAACTGTGTATAACTTTTAAAGAATAATAGTCTTTGTGATTATTGTTCAAGTAATGGAAAACTTTGAGATATAAAAATAATATAAGAAATATTGTTGTCTGAAGATATGTTCTATATGTAAGATGTGTTTATTTATTTGTCTGTTCAAGGGAATCCATTGGATTATAATATGAAGGGACGGATGGACGAATGATGATTTATCTGATCGTAGAGATTTACCCACATTTAGTGAACGTTGATATAAATATTAATTATTATTATCAAATCTGTTTGCTTATTAACAGAAAGGTTATAAAGTTCTTACCACATCAATAATTAATTTAAATACGGTACATCTCCGTAATATAATCATTTCTATGTTTCTGTGTTTCAAGAAGTGAAATCTAAGGGATGTCAGAATTCAATTTGATAATCGTATAAAGGTGATATTGTAAAATCTTGGTTAAGTCAAGCTGGATTTACGAGTATATCGAACCTCTTTATTAAATATTTTTTTCATATTAATCTTAATCTATTATATCGTTATATTAAACATTCCTTCTTTATTCTAACATAATATGTGCCCGATGCCCGTCCTGGGACTGACTCTAATTAAACTTCAACATTGATCACTGTTAAATTTAATGTAGAATTTGAAAATGGTTTGATCCTATTGATTTGGTTACAATATTTGACCTCTTTTTGTATATAGGTACGCGTTGCAGCAACCATGACCAAATACAAATGAATCCAAAGTCGGCAGTATGTGGTTTTAAAATAATAAAAAAAGTTCATTTGAAAATCTTAGTTTTATTAGAATTAATACACGAAAATCTTGAATATAAATAAATAAAAATATTTGTCTCCTTGCTATTATGTAAAAGCCACAAAGTTTAATGTAAATATTTTAACATTTAAATTGTAAACTGTATAAGTAACGTCATTTGTTAGAAATATGTTTTGTGACATACCGGTTCATCTGAAATAATCACTCGGATATTACGGATGGATTTTATCTAACATATGTTCTAAATTTCATAACAACTCAAGCACTGAAAGGCAAAAACACGAGATCTAAGGTAAAAGGTCATCGATTGAATCCTTTTTGTGCCCGTTTCGCTCTAAAGCAGTTGAAACATGATCCATTTTTTTATCACAAATTTATTTTTAGGTCATTTAGAGTCCAGACAAAAATATTTTAACAGTTTTAAATAAAAATATCCTTATGCATTGCAATCAATTGTATAAACTCCATTCTATGTACAGTAATACCCAACTTAACACGACCCCGTTGTGCGTGGTTTCACTATAACGCGATTTTCAAAAATTTATTCAGGTTCGGACATTGCAGAGTATAGACAATAATGATGACCGTGTCTTGAAAGTGTGTCAAACGATTAAAAACAGTGTCGGGTGTTATGAACTTATTTTACAAGAACGTAAACAAAACGCTACCCAAAAGACAATACATGTATTTTTTCGTAAAAAATCGGAGTACCTATGTATTGTATAGTGTTCTTAGAATTAAAGTGATTGATTAAAATGATTTTTATATTTGTGTATTAAATTTTGGCTGTGTTTAATCATAAACCTCGATATACGCGAATTTCAGTTAACGCGATTTTCTTCGGAACGTATCCCTCGCGTAAAGCGGGGTATTACTGTATATAAAATACTCATTTGATGCTATGTTATTCACACAGTAGATTTTCTGTAATTTGACGATTATTGATTAAAACTATAAGGAAAGAACATTTCAAATGGTTACCAGAACAACAAGTATCATATAGGGAAACGAATCAGTAAATTTACGTTCAATGTGTAATTTTTTTGACCTCATGACTATTTCATTTAAAGGCTAAGGATTATGTTAATAATAAATTAATGCAATGTGTGAAATGAAATATACGTAATTCAATAGCAATACCCTAAAAATCGCTTTTTGTAGTTTTATAACATTAAAGTTACATTTTATATAGGGTATACAAAGTTATATAAAGATGTACATTAAGTATTTAAATACGATCCGTGTTTATTCAAGTAATTGCAGTTTAATTAGAACCCTCAAGTTTAAATGTCCACCGTTATAATTAACAGCTACAAGTTTCCTACAAATTGACCTTTGAACTTTGATGTTTTTGCTGGATGACAAGGCGAGACTAAGTATTTCTTTATGTGTCCAAAATCATTTTTTATATTTTTATAAATACTGCCATCTGTATGTTAGTCAATTCTAAACAGACATGAGATAGTGAAAAATATCTTTTTGGTGCCTTGTAATTGAGCCACCAACCACTAGATGGCGCAGAAAAAAATATTTTTATATTTATATAAGAATCTTATCTATAAATTATACTTAACTTTGCTTTATATTCAACCATTTAACTATTATATCTATAAGCAATTTATTGTATACTTGATAATCCTTGGGATATATTTATTTGTTCGGGACCCAGATAAATTAATTTTTGGTGTATTTCAATGATTGATAGTATAATGGTGGATTGATAGTTTTCATATTAGGAATGGGTACTAGAAATACAAATTAACAAAGCATACATATTTATATTTACATATTACAATAAGTTTAATAGAAATCATTTACAGCTAAGAAGCTGAAGATAGATAAATTAAATCTAGGATGCAACATTTTACCATCTTAAAAATTATACTAACCAAATATTATGAGATCTTATTTATATTAAATAAACGTCTTAGGCTAATAGAATTAACTAAAATAAATAATTTACGTCAAAGTTGAAAATTTATAAATGTTTGAGTATTCAAGCCATATTTGAACATAATAAATAATTATTTTGAGATACACACTTACTATGTATTTACATTAGTTAATATACAAATACATATAGCAAAACCACTGATAGTTAAATAAATAATTACTAATCGTTGTACGTTTTACTTTTTAAGTATTTTTTAAGGTTTTAAATGTACCTTTTTTTAATACATATTAAGCATAATAAAAAGGTTCTATCTATTCTCTTATTACAATAATAAATAAAATAGTACAGTAATAGTGCCAGCTAGCCTTATAAGCAGAGCTTAATATAAATTTTGATTACAGTGCAAACATTATTCAAATAAAACCTAATTCTACAATAAATACTCTCTTAAATATAAAGCTATCATTCAAATTTCATTTGTTTGTATTCTAATTAATATAATACATGTTTCAGAATGAGTTATATTATTATAATAAGCTATCACACTATAGAAACTGAGCCTTTCCTCTGTGCCATGCGGGGTCCTTCAGGGAGCTTCTACTGACCCTGCCGTATTGAACGGGCGTTGATTGTGGACGATTCTGATTGTTGCTGCTCCTAAATGTAACAGTCGTGTACGTTCTCATACTAGACGTGTTGGATTTTTGTCGTAAGCCTTGCATCTGAAACATATATTTTATATGAATATTATAAAAGTTATGTAAGCGTTACTTACCAACCTAATATAAATATGTTAGATGGATTCAATGTTACATGGATGTAAAGGAATGACATACATCATATAGAGTGCTAAAGACAGCCAACAATAATTTTTAAATATAATTAATTTCCTTATTTAATATTAAATGTATACAATTTTGAAAGTAATACAAAATTTGGAAAAATATATAAAATATGGTCATAATAATCGGGTTACATAAACATATTTATTGAGTAATGGATAATTTTTGTACGATTCGAATGTAACAAAATAATTCTACCAACAAACCTTTCAAATTTAATAAAGGTTGGGTCGGAGAAGACTGTACTGGTATGAATTAAAAAGAATATTATTGTGTTAATATGAAACATCGAGATTGTTTAGTTCTTTGTTATTACAAACTGCCTTAAACTTTAAACTTACATTGAAATGAGTACTAGAGTGTATGTTACCGGGGTCGTGACAGAGAAGCTTGCGTAGTGAGCGACGGAAGTTGCGAGTCATCAAACAGTACACTATCGGGTTGATTGCTGAGTTTGTGTGACCTGAAATTGTATTTATACAATAAATTATTAATATTCATATTGGTAAAAAAGCCCTTTTTATTTTCAACCTTCGTTGAATTCTGTGATCCTAGTCTTATTATTGATTGCCAGTACAAATTTTAACTTACACGACATTGGCAAAATCTATAAGGAAACGCCACTAACTAAAGAAGAAGAAGAAGAAATTTTAACTTAATAACATTTTGTAAATAAATTTCAGTGAATAAAAATTTACCTAGTAGTAGCGTATACGGCAGCACGAGAGCTACAGAGTCGACTTGAACAGCATTAACGTCAATCAGCAGTTGCAAAATATTATAAGGTAGCCAGCATAAAGCGAACAGCACTGCTAACAGAAGCAGTATCCACGCTACGCGTTTTCTCTCACGAACCAGTCGTAAACGCTGTAAAGTAAAACCAATAAATGGGGTAACAACTGATTTATAATTAACAAATATATTTTAAGGGTTCCCATGTAAAGAAAACATAAGATTTAACAACATCGTCTTGTTATCTTGTACACCATAACATTTTATGTGTCCCTTTCATTAAGGTCAATGAATTTGATACATAAAATGTTATGATTATAGAGCTTTTGCTTTCACTTTAACGTTTTCTAACTTAAACAAATTATTCTATACATATATGAAAAGCATATATAATAATTTCCGGAGCATTATAATATACTGTTATATTAATTTTACGTTTTAGTTTATAATTACAATACTTCAACTAATCTTGTGGTTGCCAATAGATTTGCTACACGTCTAACATCGATAACTTTGTTTACTATAACAAATTTACAAGTTAAATTACCCCCAAAAGTTACATCGCCCCGTCATTATTGGCTGTCATCGGAACATAGTTTTGTTGCTTCTATTACAGATACAATTAAATATCACAGATCTTTGTACTAAACCCAACTTAAATGTGTTAATAATCAAATAGACACTCATATATAACTTCTCTTAAAACTAATTCTATGTATATTATACTAAAGTTATATTTATATACTTAAATATTTTTCATATTATTTTTAAAATATAAAAATTAAAGATTCCAATACTTATGTTTTGAATCTGCCTACATTTCGGAATTCGTTTTCTTGATTCTAGATATACCTTTATAATTATTATACAAGATTATTATTAGATTAAAACCAAAAAAAGAGTTTTTTGGTAATATGTGCAGTATTCCTTGAGTTTCTCTTTTGTTGACTACACCTTGACCAATAAGTATTTTACATAAAGATTTTGGCTCAACGAAAAATCGAATCCCAGGATTATTTGAAAAAAATTATCATCATATCTAGTACAACAAATGATAAATCTATGTAGTTTAAATTGAAATTCACTTCTGAAATTGTTTCTTACTATCAGCAAATTTTTTTAATATAACTGATTAAAATTCAAATATTTTCACACATTGCAGACACACATTTGCATATGCATACGAAATTTTAATGATATATGATATTTTAATAATTTGAAAGTCCCAATTCGTCTTGCAAAACATAGAACACATAGTAGGTTTGAAGCATTTTCAATTCAATCACTAGGCTAGGAGATTGACCGCAAAGAGGTTTTCGGAATAGGCGTTTGTGAGTGACCAAATGACTGTTGGAGAGTCAGTACTATCTTCATCATAGACATCAAACTGAGCAAGGAATTTAGAATTATAATAAGAGTATATAGTCAATAATATTTTATTTATATTATATCAATTAATGACGTTTAAGACTTTCGCGAGTATTAATTTAAATGAAACAAAAAAAATTTGATTATAGTACTTGTGTTTTATTATTTTAAACACTACATACTCTGAATACATCTCGTCTGCCCGTGATCACGGTTGCTCAAAAGTAACAGAAACGTCGGGAGTATATAGTATTTAAAATACTAAAATAACACACACATAACGCGTAGTACAATCCGAAAAATATAAGTTTCATTTATTTTAATTAATTGCAAATATAATAAACGCTTTTGTAAACGCAGTTAAAAGTCGCTTCCCTTATTATTTTATTTTACTTTTGCTCATAATGATGTCACGTTCTCTTAAGCCTCATGCGATGTGGACCTTTTAGGGTTTCTTTCGATAAATTTAAATCAAGCGATGTCTGACATATCCCATACATGGAAATAGTTATTACCTATTTTTGTTATTCGTTCAGCAATTGAAATTTATGATACTGTCTTGTCGATTATTTTTCATTTCAGATAGATTAAATGTGTTTTATGTAACTTTTAGAGCTTTATTATTAATCTTACAATAAATTGTGCAACCTTTTTATTTTTAATTTATACATAGGAAGACATTGGAAGGCCCTTCCATTTATGAATCATAATTTTCTACTTTTCTACTCTCACATCTCGTCTGCCCGTGATCACGGTTGCTGAAAAGTAGCCGAAACGTCGGGAGTATGTAGTTTTCTAATCAAAAATACAACGCGAAGTAAGATCCGAAAAATATTAATTTCATTTAAATGAGTACTCGCGAAAATCTTAATCTCACTTCATATTTCCCATAACAATTAAGGAGACTTAAATTACGTCACAAAATTTTTATTGAATAATAAAATTTTTTAAATACCTGCTGGCTGTTCGCACTTCCTTCTGTCTGGTCAAACGGTGGCAGCACCGAACACAAACGTCGGCCCATCAACGAATATGAGACGACAACAATGCATCCTGTGAAAATTAATTTACATGGAACCAGAGCAAACTCATTGGATTTTTTTATTAAAAAAGAACGAAACATCAAAAAAACATGCAATTTAAGTAATATTTATATTATTAGAATTTGAAAGTACTTAAACTTGGGCATTAGAAACTTTTCAACAATATTTTAATTTTACATGATTAAAAGACGTTGACAAACCTGGTATAGCATATACGAGTATAAAACTGAAAGTTCCAAACAGCTCCTTTCTGATGGAATCTGGCCACTTTTCTGTACAAAACTCTATGCTGCTTTCTAACCAGACCTGAAAATTAATAGTTTATTTATTGAATATTAAAAAAAAATCAAGGTGGTAGGGCCTAGTTGTGGTCAAGTAACTATAGCTTGAACGTGATCTGGTTCTACCAGGGAAATACCACCCTCGCACAGAAGATGTGCCTTTCGTCCGAAAAGTGAGAGATCTGGTTGAACTTTCCTTTTTAACACCCTTTCCTTTCTCGGGATGTTGATATGTACAGTGACTGTCTATTCTGCATGAGCCGAAGTCTGATTTAAATTGTTGAGGGTGTTTTATTGTGACCCTGCAACTGCGACTGGAAACTGGGGCCCTTTCGTACCTCGTGCCAGCAACACACAAAACTCGACTCTCAGTTAAGGCTAATAGTTATTGAACCATCTGCATCCTTCCATCTTTCCTTTCACCTCACGAGTGGCATCGCATCCGCAACACCATGTTGCAGAAGACGATAGGTGACTGTAACTACCCCCTTCAACTAAGTTATCTACTCGTTTACTCCTCTTTAACATAAAAAATATAGCGTTTTATAACTTATATGACACAAGTTCGTCAAACTACGAATATATATTGAATATGCACATTACACACTCATACTACATATGATATCATATTATGCGTAGAAATATTATTATTTTTTCGATTTAATATTCCTAACGTCACATAAAGTAGATTTTTTTATCTTTTATTATATTTAGAATTTTAGATATACATTTGATTCCAAGTGATGTAAGAATAAAATATAGATAATTGTTATTATTGTTCATTTATTCATATATGTATGCATAATAATGGACGCATGGAAATTGTCATTATGCTTTTATAATTCTCTAGGGAAATTATATTAATTTACTGTGTTTTAATGTTTACTTGAGTTCTTTAAATGAATTACATAAGCTCTTTTATTATCTTTATAAATATTATATATTTACACCACTGTAAATAAAGAAATGCCATTTCCTAAGTTTTTATGTTTCACAAGTATTCATTCTAAATGATATAAATTGTCTTCCATATGATTGTCATTTTCATATTGTAAAAATGAATAATGCAAATAATTTATTTAAGTTAATACCGAATGATGTCGTTCTTTATTCCCGCCTTATAGGTGATGTCGTAATTCTTAAAACATTTTTATTCCATCACAAGTTTTTATGTTAGCCGAAAAAAAAAAATTGCTTAATTTTTTTCCAATATTACAATCCATACTCTCCAGAAGAATATATTTGATTCAATCAAATGTAATGTAATAAAGACCGCAACAATTACGTCTATCAAAACTGAACACAACGACTAAAGTTGATCTGAAATATTTGGTGTACATTTTAGTTCACGTTTCTGCAGTAGTCGTGTGCGGTCAGCTCGACATGTCAAAAGCATACAAAAAGTGAAACAAATTTTCCGCGACCCATATGCTTTGAAATTCCAGTCAGTATATTTCAATTTCTAACAGTTTTTCATCGAACTCAACTGTTACAGAACTCGTATACATTCTGACCAACGTTTTTCGTTTTTATTTTATTTTTATGTGTGAAATTGACACTGATTATAGATATTTGTAAATTCCGTTTTCTCGATTTATTACGTATAACGTAAGTTGCCAGAAACTAAACTTAATCTCTACAACTATACAGAACATTTTAGTATTAATAAGTAAATACAGTCAATAATAGAATTTTTCTTATTTAATTTTAAACTTCAAATTTCAAGCATCGAATCGGTCAGCATAAATATTTGCACTAATTTCTTATTTTGAAAACATTTCTATTCTAAATTTTCTATAAAAGCAATTTTATCTTTATTTAGATAATACATAAATACTAAACTATTATATTACGTATCACATATACTTAAGTAATAGTGTCCTTTATAAGATATCTCTTTTAATTACGTAATAAACAGAATTCGCATAAAGCAACGGTGTCGTGCTATAAAAACTTTATTTCTCTTATTGAGCATTAATCGAGACATAAGGCAGCGTGCAAAGCCAAGTTCGTGTTTTATTTATTCAATAACAATCCTCTCACAGTGAACCAATGTATATTTAAAATTGTAAGTACCTCACCATCAATATTTTAATTTTTATTCACTTTTCGCGGACATTAAAATAATGGATGTTATTAATTTTACACGTTGATTAAACAAAAACAATGTCACCCTTACGAAAATTAGTGTCTTCAAAGTAAATCACATTACGTTTGTTATCAGTTTATACAGAAATATCTTAACTAAATTGAATACAAAGTTTGTATTATGGTAGAAAGTTAGGCGTATTGTCTCAATGTTAGACCGTCTTTATATAGATATACTTTATAAGGGAGATACCACATTGAATTTGAGTTTCAGTGTTACTGACGATTATATTTAATATTAATTGTCTGTTAACAACAATGCCTTCAATTCTGCATAATTCTTAGTCTTTGGTTGAATTTTGGTGATTTCTGTAAATTATTTAATGTATTGATTGATGGAGTAGCTTACAAATCATGACAAAATTTGAATGACTGTGGAATGACTTTTAGTTTTTCAATTTTCTGCTGCATTCAATACAACGATTTTATGGTGACTTGTTTTATGATTTGTTTTATTTCATAGATTAACCGCAACCTAGATCTATTAGGGTCTTCCAGAGGTAAAGTTAATGTTGCCCCATAGTACAGTTTGTGTTTTCGTTAGAGGAATGTTCAGTACTATCATTAATTACATGAGAACTTATTAACAACATTACAGTTACAAAATAGCTACCTTTTAGTTTACTGACATGAAACAAACCACGAATTACTAATCAGCATTGAGGCCAATCAATTTTTAGTTCACATATATTTAATAGAAACCGCTCTGCTTTTTGGTCTCTACATTTAAAATATTTATCGAACTTTGTTAAAACTTAGCTGGAAGGGTGTAATTTATATCTTGCCGTTACATTCCTTAAATGTCTCTGTATGAATTGATGGTTGGCAAATACGTCATACTTGCGAACAGGTGCGGCATTGATTCCTGGAGTGCTTTGAAAGTTTACATTATAAGTTTTATATGTACACTTTAACTGCAATTTTTATTTTTTTATGTCTATTTGTTCTTAACGTCATAAGGGGTTAATAAGGCTCCTTTTAGCAAACATCAAAAAGGCGGAAGATATCAATAGTACTACTAAATGTTTGCTACGCCATTTCTACGATAAATATATGTATATACACATATGTACATATTAATGCCTACTTACGGTCATATGTATATGTAGCCGGTTACCATTATCTCTTTGAATACGGGCAAGTTTAACGATTTTATTTTAAACAGGCGCCGAAAATTTTGTTTTAAGTATAAGAATTGATAAAATAAGCAAAAGTCCATATGATATTGATAGTGAATTAAACTAATAAATTATTCCTGAAGTTTCTATGCGAAGTTGTTTTAGTATAAAGGATCTCTATATGGATTTGCGAACTCAAAAAAGTAGACCTATTTTTTTGTTCCAGAAAGATATTTTTCAACCTTTTTTGTATCCTTTTGGCAACTTCATTCATAAATAAGATATAATGTACCCGATAATACCATTTTTTCGAACAGTTCTATCGTTCGAATTTTGCCTCCGCTTCGAGGTATAATTAGAATTTTCGTTTAATCTCTTTAACCCATCTTAAAAGTCACCCTCATTAGGAATGTTTAAACTACTTTAATATTTACAGAGCTACTTTGACCAAACGAATTTGTTTTCACTTCCAAAACTTCTTAGTACTCATTAAAATTAGGAACGTACTCAAATTAATTAAAATATATTTAACGTCAAACAAAATAATTAAATGTTTGAGACATTTGATATATATGTATTTTTTAAATTATATTCAAAAAGATTTAAATATGGTACTATGATATATAAAGCAGCTGGAGGGTCTGAACAGATATACGAGTAGTATCTTAATACTACTCGAGTTGCTGTGACATAAAAAGAAACGCAATTGTAATCTGTACTGTTTATAGAAAATGGGTAATAGCCAATAGTATCATAACATTATCGATTGACTTGAATCCATGAGTCTCTTCATTATAGTAAGTATATTTTTAATGATTCGAAGCCTAGAGAGGGATGAAAATGCTGTATCTAGTCATGTTGTATAAACACTCAGATATGATCCTTAGGATAGAACTAGATAAAATAATTATAGGGATAATAGTGATTATTAAAAATATTACTTGTTGATATTCATCAACGATTGAAAATCTACAGAGCATCATAGATAAAATTTTGACTGTTGTTTATGGTATTTATAATATTGACGCCAGTACTAAAAATACCAAATAGATGTTCGTATGTAAAAATAACAAGAATACGTCCCAACTATTACGTCCTAGAAAGCACTTTGCTAAAATTACACGTACGTATATTTGTAATATCGGGTGTATGGTAGAAAGATCACAATCTTGAAATAAAGTGTCAAATAAAAATCTAAAACAAATTGCAATCAAGCAACTGATGTGACTGCAACTATTCTGCTTCGTTGTCTTCATTCTTTTAACGGGATCATTGTTTAAGAAAATTGTTTATGTTTTTAATAACAATAAAATTAATAACTTAAGCTAAACATAATATTAGAGCCATATTAAATATGAAATGGTATGTGCAGCTTGGTGCATAATAGATATTGTATGATCTTAAGTTGAATTTTATTACCGAATCAAATAAAAATGTTTCCATTTAACCATCCAGATTTTCGAAATCAATAATAAGTTTATAAGACAATTCTGAAATCCCGGACTGGTCAATATAAAGTTTATTAACCTTCGTATATTTATTTGCCTTAGAAACTTTTAAAATATAAGTAGACCGTTTTTTATGATATTTACATAAGGTCAGGCTGAAGATCACAAACACTTGGCTTATTCTTCCCGAGTAATTACTTGAAAATCAAGACTAAAGCGTTAATTTTAAAAAAAGTGCTTTGATCCAAGCGCAAAGTCCTGAAAAAAGCTATAAAAGACTTGTTTCGAGAGTATTAACGCGAAACTTTATG